AAATGAAACAAAATTGTAAAGAAATTGCATATAAGAAAATTAGCTCACATTTTTTCAAAATTAATTCGCCCGTCCCTATCAACCCCTTGGGTTTTATCACAAAGAGCTTTCGTCTCAAAAAGCACTGCGGGAAAATAAATTGTAATTACTCTGTTTAGTTTCGTACCATTTCTCCATAATTTTTGCAATACAAATCGCTACAGTGCGGATCGTAATCATATTAAAGCCAAAATTGTATGAATTTTAATAAAATATTCGCTTTATTCGTATAATAAACAAGAGAAACATTCAAATGTCTTTGAACATTTGTAACAAAAATTCAAAAACTACGATTCTTTCTTTCGAATGTCCGCCTTATCAATTAATGCTTCCAATTGCGCCAACAAACACCTACAATAATTGCATACATAATTCATTGCGACCTTTTTGAATTCTTCATTCAGAAGGACCTTAAGAGCGCGACAACGGCCGAAACTCTGTTTTCCATTTTACTAACGCTTCCATGCCAGCAAACTCGGGCGATTAAAAAATCACTGAATTCGAAGCGGGCGTTCCTAAGGGCCTTCAAGTTCTGAAGAATTAATGAAACAGTGAACTCAAGCAGAAGAGCATTCCTTTGATAAGAAATTATAAAAATGAAATAAAAGTGACAAAAAATTTCGAATGCAAAATAGCATATTTTTACCTTCCACAACTATCTAAATATCAAACATTAATAAAAAGCCTTACTATCGCTCTTTGACAAATCATGTGTCATAAAACGCTATCGGAATTTGCGTAATTATTGTTGTAAAACAAAACAGTTAGATCATTATTTCAACAATGAAAATTCTTTTGACATAAAATTTTTGGCAGATGAAAAACTGATTTCAACGCAAATATTTTCAAAAGATAAAATATAATTGTGATTCGTAAATTGAATATAATATCCAACTCACCATGACTCAACTAAATGTATTCTTTTACAAATTTCTTTTATCGCTTTGCTTTATATCAACAATCAAACAACAAAACAAAAAATATGACTATTCCTAATAATGTTTTAATTATGTCTTTTTGAAATTTTTCAGATTTCATATTCAGAAACGATGTAGGCCAAACCCAAATTTAGCTAAAAGATGACAGGGGAAAAAAAACGTTTAGTATTAAAAAAAAAGACCAATGAGAGCTTCTGCTTCGACAATATAGAGGGAACTGGAGAATGTCGCAAACCATTCTCAGAGGAATATTGGATGCTTATTCCCGTTCGCCTCTGTATGGAAATATTTGAGGTCTTTCAAGGGGAGTTAAAATAATATCAAATTTATATACTAATTTACTTTCAAAATACAAAAGTATTTGACAGCTAAAATTAGTTTACTTTTAGCAAAGCCTATCAATACCCTCTTTACGATTTATTGCTACTTTTCGAAATAAAAGTAATAAACAAATTTATACTAATTTACTTCAAAATTTACAAAAAGTATTTGACAGCTAAAATTAGTTACTTTAGCAGCGCTATCAATACCCTTTTACGATTATTGCTACTTTTTCGAAATAAAAGTAAAAACAAATTTATACTAATTTACTTCAAAATAACAAAAGTTATTTGACAGCTAAAATTATGTTACTTTAGCAAAGCCTATCAATACCCTTTTACGCTATTATTTTGCTACTTTTTTCGCAAATAAAAGCTAAAAACAAATTTATACTAATTTATCTTCAAAATACAAAAGTATTATTGAACAGCTAAAATTAGTTTACTTTAGCAAGCCTATCAATTACCTTATTACGATTATTGCTTTACTTTTTCGAAATAAAAGTAAAAAAACAAATTTATACTAATATTACTTCAAAATACAAAAGTATTTGACAGTCCTAAAATTAGTTACTCTTAGCAAGCCTATCAATACCCTTTTTACGCGATTATTGTACTTATTCGAGAAATAAAAGTAAAAACAAATTGTATACTAATTTACTTTCAAAAATACAAAAGCTATTTGACAACTAAAATTAGTTTACTTTAGCAAGCCCCTATCAATACCCTTTTACGATTATTGCTACTTTTTCGCTAAATAAAAGTAAAACAATTTATACTAATTTTACTTCAAAATACAAAAGTAGATTTGACAGCTAAAATTAGTTACTTTTAGCAAGCCTACTCTGTATTATCAAAAGGATATTATGATGAATATGTTTGCCTTTATTACGTAAGCCAAAAATAACATTTGATATCAAACTTGGAACTCGTTTTGATAACAGATATTTAGACGCAAGGCTGAAATCATCAGTATAAAACTAGTTCTGAAGTAATTGGAGGATTTATCACGTGTTAATCCGTTTTGTAGATTGTGGAAATAAATATTTCATTCAAAAGACTATAATATCCACGACAAAATGAATCAAATATAGGGTGTCAAGGTGTGTTTAGCACAAAACCTGAATACTGCGCAATTTAGAAACAAACAAGTTACATTATATATAAAGTTTATTATCTCTTTCGCATACGTTCTATCTCTTTGACGGAGTAGTTATATTTCCTCATTGCTGCTTTACATTTTGAACATTGTGGGTTCATTTTAGCATTGTACATTGAAATTTGACCTGCTAGAACAACTAAGGCGTCAATGGTTTTCTTTAACTCAAAAGTTGCGGGTTTTATTTGTTCGTTCCATACTTTACCTCTTCTATCTTTATCTCTTATCTGCCATACACATTTTGCAACTAACGAAACAAAGTTGTCGTAGGTCTTAAATTCTTCAGATTTATATATGTCAGAGATGTTCTTATATACCATGTCGCAGTCTTTGTCCATGACTTTGTGGTTGCAATGAAATCCAAGAAACTCATAGTTAACCTTACGTATGAACTTCTTTATTTCTACTGAGTCAGTTGCTTTGACTTCTATTTCATCGAATTCAGGAATAGTGAGCTTTTGTTGTTGTATTTCAGGAAGTTTAGGTAGATGGTCAATAATATCCTGCATTTCATAAAGATACTGTTCATTTGTTTCATCTTTCGCACTACAGTCTAAATTACATGTTAAAAGTTCTTGCTTTATCTTCTGGATTTCTGTTTCGAAAGTATATGAAGAAGGAATGAAGCTTTTCATTTCTACTAACATAGATGTTGGGTTCATGACTAAAGAGTTTGGTGAAGTTGTTGCTAACATGTTCTTACAATAAAAATAAAAAATATTTTTTTAAAAAAACTAACTTTATTTTTTATTTCGGGAAAATTCATGAGTTTTGGTTGAAAAATACGGTGGAGCCAAAAGTGGCTCGACCTCAAAACAAGCATTTTGTGAAGAATATAGCAACCGGAAGAAAACCGGCGGTTGGTTTTTATACAAAATTCAAGAGGGTGAAAAAATGTTAGAAAACGTGTTAGATCTAACATGCTACCCTAAAATATATTTTTGGTTCATTTACACTCGTTACGATGAAGAAGTCTTGACATTTTCCCGACTGTTGTCAAAATGTCATGTTGTCTCATTTTTTCAGAGAAGTTAAATTACCTGGTAGCACATGGTAACATGGTAGCACCTTCAGTAAACATCTCATTTTAACTCACTTTTTTCTATCTTAAGGAATTTCATGAGTTTTCTACGATGTTAGAAAAAATGTTAGAAAACGTGTTAGATCTAACATGCTAACATAAAATATATTTTTTGGGCTATGTCCCACCGCTTTGCGTCTTTAGGTCAAAAATAAATTGTTTTCATGAGTTTTCTACGATGTTAGAAAAAATGTTAGAAAACGTGTTAGATCTAACATGCTAACATAAAATATATTTTTTGGTGGTACGTCGGACATTGTCTTGAAACAGTACAAATATTGTCTTGAAACAGTGCAAATATTGTTCTGAAACAGTACAAATATTGTTCTGAAACAGTGCAAATATTGTTCTGAAACAGTACAATGGACAACATCGAGCCATTCATGAGTTTTGTGTGTTGTCTACGATGTTAGAAAAAATGTTAGAAAACGTGTTAGATCTAACCATCTACCCTAAAATATATTTTTTTCTATCTTAAGGAAATTCATGAAAATTCAAGAGGGTGAAAAAAGAGGTTAGAAAAGAGGTGAGATCTAACATGCTAACATAAACTCACTTTTTCAGCACTTTTCCGTAGTTGTATATGAAAGACAATTCGAGATAAAAGTCATAGTACAATGGAAGAATATGTTGCACACCATTTGTTGTGAACCAAACTTGAAAGTCAGAGAAACTGTTACTAGGTGGTTCGTAGAATTTAGAAGCAAAGTCATAAAAGTCCTTACCGATACATAGAAAACTATGTTGTTTCTTGAACTGAAACTTGCATGGCACATAACATTTTGAGGGTCAAACACGTTTCTATAAACTGTCAAATCTGCTGGTGGAAGTATAAATTTAAATGGACCATCTGGTGGTAATGGTTCGTTCTGGTTTAGTAACCGAAGAAATTGTGCCCAAGAACGTTTGTCTACTTTCCAAAATAAAAACTCTGTATCTCTTGGAGGGTTAATTTCAATCTTTTGAAATGAAACGGTGGAGTTCATCTTGTCATATTCTAGTTTCAGATAGTATGTTCCATTTAGTAAAGAGTCGTATTTTTCTTGAAATTCCCAATAGTATTTGTTCATTTGAGTTTGAAAGTCATTTAGAGTTTTCTCAAGACTTTCGTCTGAACGAACTGTAAAGATTCTCATTTCATCAAATTTGTCTATTAGACCATCAGAACCTTTATACTGCCCATGAAAATATACTGCGAACATAAATGCGTTAGTTCTATTTGAAAAAAAACTCTTCTAAATCCTATTGCCTTTGCATCTGAAGGACTTTGAAGCCAACGAACTGGATAGTCAAACCTGTATGCTCGGGATGAAATTTCTTCATCTGAAATAGTCCTACCAGCATTTGTAAAGATATAGTCTAACGGTTTTGTATCTGCTACTTTTGTTCTTGTTTTTCAACCTGAAGCATTTAATATATGTAAAAATATATTGTTTTAAAAACGTTTTTACTTCATGCAATTTTTACTTCATGCAATGTTTTATTTCTGTGCCGTCTTCAAGTATGCCCCAGTACTTACGCTTGGAGAGGACATGAACTTCTGAAAATACCTTATCTAGCTTAAAACAGCCCATCTTTTCACCGACCATTCCCATTTCAATGAGTTTGTTATAGCCTTCTTCGTTCGTCATGAGTGCGTCAATGTTCTCATAGTAAACCTTCACTTTGGATTTGACTTCGGAGAAGAATTTGTTGTAGTTGTCAAGGACTGCCTTTGCGAACTGAGGGTAAGACCAATGTTCGACAATAGGTTTTAATGTGGTTACTAAGCCACTTTGACCTTGAGTGAATTCGTACTTCAAAACAAAAGGAGAAAACCTTTCAACAAAGTTGTCGACCTTCTCATAATGTTTACTCTTCATCTCTTGAGGTTTCTTAATGGAATATCCCCATGTCGAATTCATAAGCAATTTGAGTGTCATTGCAAGTTTGGGGTTTGAAGCTTTCCTAATATCATACAGTTGTTGTATGACTTTTCCAACTGTATAGTTCCTTCCCGGGAACTCACCATCTTCGTTTGGAATTCCAGTCGGAATATATTGGACAAACCTCATGTATGCAGCGTTAAGGTCGACATAGTATATCTTTTCATCTGAGTCGAACTTGTCGCAACCAGTTGGTCCAGTTTGTGGAAATTCAAGTGAGTCTCTTATCTTCTGAGAAACTTCTCCTGTTATCTCATAAACATCGTCGAAGCAACCTGTTTCATATAAAACCTTCTGACCTAACTCAGATGCTCTCCAATACAATTTGACGTCAATTGGATGTCTCAATGGAAGTTTGTTTATAGCATCTTGAAGTTCTTGCAACCTCATTGGAAGTTCTTCTGGTTCAGGTTGGTATCCGAACAATCCAACTCCTTGTGGAATTGTGTACTTCTTTTGTACTAGAACTTTGTCTGGAACAACTTTTGGTCTTGCTAACAGTGAAAAGTTTGTTTCGTCTTTTGGTACAAAAGTTTCTGTCAGCTTGTCATCTGGAATTGGTTCCAACAAACCTTTCTCGAAAAGAATGTTTACAGCTCTGACAATGTTGCACTTGCCTTTTCCGAACAATGGGTTTGTAAGACTTTCGTTCAACATGAAGTGGTTGTGGACAATTACAATCTTCAACCATGGCAATTTGAAGTCAACAACATAGTCGTCATGTGAAGAACCTTTAGCTGTAGGTATGTTGACTCGGATATTGACATTTGCCAACGGTGCAATTTTTGCCAATTGACCTCTGAGAATGTACCTTGTCTTCACACATGACTCAAGATACTTCATTTTCTCATCTGTAACAAGACCAGAGTTCCTGAGACATGTAAGAATGCAAGGTTCATTGACAATTGTTTCAATTGAATTGTAAATTCCATACCTTGTCAAGTCAATGTCAGACTTATTTCTGAAGGGGAAGTATCCAGCATGTTGTCTGACTGCTTGAGGGTTAGGTTGGTACCATTCGAACTTGACACTTGCAATTCCTTCAATTGCATTCAAAATGTCTGAGTCTGAGTCAACCATTTGTTCTCTCTTTGTAGTCTTGAAAGCGTCAAGAAGCATTGCAGCTGTTGTGACATTGCCATATGCATAGTAAATGTGACCATCCAAATCTGTTATGGTCAATCTGAGATTGTGTCCTTTCTTATTTCCGTCTTGTATGGCAGCAAGTACACCCATGAAGCCTTCTTTGTTCTTTCCTTCGTCAAAGTTTACTGTAAAGGTTCGACCAGAAGTAATTTGACTTCTAACTTCACGGTACTTCTCATATGCATATCTTGTTCTTTTCATGGGAGCATGTGCGTCTTCACCTTTTCCTTTTTTCCTTCTCAAAGGATGCAATTGTTCGTCATGTTTCCAGTAGAATCTGGCAAAGCCGTCGTGTCCTTCAACTTGAGGTTCACTAACATCGAAAGGCATGTCCATAAGACGTTCTTCTTCTAACCTCTCTAGTCTGTTTGGATAATTGGCACGTGCTGTTTCCAAATCCATTTCGTAGGTCAGACCAGCCAGTTTGTCATAGACTTTTATGGGTCTTCCCTTCCTATATTTAAAATTCTTCGAAACTCTCCAACCATATCTTTGCAACTCTGCTTTTATTCTAGCAGATTTTCTATCCATTCTATATGGGGGCATTTTTATAAAAATAAAAAAATATTTTTTCTTTACTTTACATAACCGCCTGCTGCCATAAGTCTTTGACGCCAACCCATACCAGCTAATGAAGGTTGACTTGGTTTAGTTTGGAAACTAAACTTTGGTTTTGGTTTATCTTCAGTTTTTGGTTTCTCTTCTTCTATCGGTTTTTCGTCACTTTTCGGTTCCTCTGACTTTACTTCACTTGCAGGAACAGTTGTGTCGTCAACATCTTCATAAATATCATATGCCATTTGTTTTTGTTTTCCTTTCAACTTTTTGTGTTTGTTGTAAAGTTTAGAATATTTCGACTCTAAGTCAATGAGATGTTCTATAATGAACTGTTGGTCAGTGAAGTAAACTTTTCCATCTGTTGTCTCGAAAGCTCCTTCAGACTTCAATATTTTATTTGTGAGAGTCTGTTTCTTTTTGAGATACTAGCCGTTCCATTTTTATGAAAAGTGACTTTATAGTTAGGTTTGTATTTCCAGACCTGCACTTTTCTATTATTGAATTTTTCTCTTCATCTGTAAGTTCTTTGACGGGTTTTGACAATGGTTCTGAACTTTTTGTTTGTGGTGTCAAATCTACCGTTTCAACTTCTTCGGTCATTTCATCTCAGTAAAAAATTTTAGTTTGGTTTGTTTTCAACTGGTTGTTTAGGTTTTTTAAGTCGGTCTAAAACTTCCTGAGATATAGGAAGAACTTGACAAACACGTTGTGTAACTGCGGAAGCCGACAAATCCATCTTGAACCCATTTGTCTCAATGCTGTATTGTTCATTTCATCTCAGTAAAAAATTTTACATTCCCAAGTTTGAGGTGGTTGCGGTTGGTTATTGTTTACCCATTGTTGTGCATGGTTATATCCTCTGTTAAAGAATCTTTCACCTTGGTCCATATAGTGTCCTGCTTGGTTATAGTAGTCATTTGCTTTGTTATAATAGTTTCCTGCTTGTCTTCCTACATTGTCCATCCATCCTTGAACTTTTCCTCTTGTTTCAGGATTTGGAATAAGATTTGTTGCATCTCGTGCTACATCCCAACCTTTCTGTACAGTTTGTATAATAGGTTGTGCTTTCTCTTTAAGTATACCTAATGTACTCAAAATCTTCCTTCCAACTCCAAATACACCTCTGGCTATTGTTCCCACTGCGGGTAAAAATCTAGATGCAACTCCTGCTAATGCGCCAAATAAACCCATTTCTTATGGGTTAAAAAATGACGAATCCAAACAAGGACCCCTATGTTTCTAAAGCGACAAAGAAAGCACTCATGATAAAAATCTTTAGTTCAACACCAAATGCTTGGTTTATGGATATCTTGGAAAACATTCCGAGAGTTAGAACAGATGGACCACCATACTGGCTAATATTTGTCGGTCAAAACACAAGATACTGTGAAGCCATACCATTATGGTCCAAAAATATTTTAGATGTGAAAACTGCTTTGACAATATTCGTTGACAAATACCATCCAACAAAACTGACATCTGACTGTGAAAGTTCTTTCAAATCAGATGATGTAAAAAACTATCTGCGTTCAAAAAATGTAAACCAATATTTCATTGTCGACCAAAACCATTCTGCTCTTGGTGTCATTGACGGTTGTATAAAAATGTTAAGAGACTTAAACCAACCACAAGGTGGTGAAGCAAATGAAATGTCATATGACGACAAATATAGACACTTCTCCATGGCAAAGATGAGACAAGTTTTAAATATTTACAATAACCGTAAACAAAAAGGTTTGGGAAACCACTCCCCCGAAGAAATGAAAAACAACCCCGACTTAGAGAAAGACTATATATTTAATAATTTAGTCAAAAGAGACAAACAAGAAAGAATGCCGGGCTTCAAACTTCAGAAAGGTGACAAAGTAAAAATAGAAATACCTAAACGCGACCCATATGAAAATACTATTGACTATGACAACAATGGGAACCCGACAGGTACTCACATTCGTGTTCGTAAAAATAGAAGAAAGTATACAAGAGAATATTATGAAGTTTTAGGCAAACATGGCAAAATGTACACACTGCAAGCAGAAGATAAAACTACTATTGTCAGACCTCGTTTCAAACTTGTCAAAGTTCAAGGTTGTATACTTTCAAAGACAGTTCCTAACAAATATAAGACAACTCCTGACGAATATGCTAAAGAAGTGGAACATGACGACTAAGCATTTCTATACCATGCGTAAACTGTCATGTAAGGTGGCATGTAGTCTTTACTTTGTCCGGTTGTTTGCGTATATCCTGAAACGAAATGTGTATGGTTTCCTCCTCCCTCAGTGTTACTCCAGTAACAATTTATAGCAAACTTAACGTTGTCTTTAACATCATATCCTTTACCTTTTGTCATTGCTGACCAATCCCAATATCTATGCTTATGCCAACCTGCTTGAGATGTACTTAAATCTATGTAGTGACTGTGCGCAGGTAAGTTTTCACCCGAAATCGTTTTACTTCCACCTGTTTCCTTTGAAGAGTTTGCACAATACAAAAACCTGTCGACTATTTGAGTCCAAGTTCCAAAACCAAGTACTACTTCTGGTCTGGTAGAGTTCATTGACGTATAAATAGAGCCTATAGGATATAATGTTTGAAGTATTTCTGTCTTTAATGTTTGAAGCTCTGTTTTGTCTGCTTTCTTCTCATATAAATCTTGAGCAGTGAATTTAACTTTATTTTCATCCTCCATGACATAAACATCTTTACATCTAATGTTTTTCATCGTCGTTATGTCGTCATCCGATGTTAAACCTTGTGGAAAGTTAGGAGGTTTACAATATAATGCATCCCCACCAGTTTCTTCAACCGTTCCTTCAATACTTTCTATAGCAACAGTTGTGAAGAAATCATGTGTATGGTTCTTGTCTGCTTTCTTTTCAAGGCTAACGTTTAAGTCTGTTATTTCAGATATAGAATGTGTATGTCCAACGGCACTTTTCCTGTTTAAGGTTTCTTGTAAGTTTGTAATATTTGCAATGGTATGTGTATGTCCAACGGCACTTTTCCTGTTTAAGGTTTCTTGTAAGTTTGTAATATTTGCAATGGTATGTGTATGTCCAACGGCACTTTTACTGTTTAAGGTTTCTTGTAAGTCTGTTATTTCAGATATAGAATGTATATGAGTCTTTTTAGAATATTCGTTTTCAGCTCTTGTCACTTCACTTGACATTTTATTGTCAACATATGTTTTGTCTGCTAGTTCAGGATGAGTATGTTCTTTTGTTGCATAAGCATTGTTAGCTCTTTCTTCTTCTTTTGCTATTGCATCGTCTACATATTCTTTGTCAGCTTTGTTGTCAACATCTGCTTTCAAAAGAAGTTCATTTATAGGTTTCTCGTTTAAAGTTCCTTTTGTTGGATTTATACAGACAGTATTGTTCTTCTTGTCTTGAAATAGAAACTCATCTGTTAAAGGGTTTAATGTCAGTTTTAAGTTTCCTTCTTTCAATGACTCAGATATCTTAGAATAGTTTGAAAAGTTTGTTGTGTTCTTATTTAGAGCTTGCATAATGAGTTGTCGGTTGTGTTGTATTTCTCTCATAGACGCTGTTTCATTTGACATTTTTATTATAGATAAAATATGCTTCCAATAGAAAAAGAAAATTCTAGAGTTGCTACAACTAAACCATTAGATGAACTTTTTACTAATGTCGGTCAAAAGTTTGAGACAGAGACCGTAAAGCATGAAGGCTATCGTTTTGACTACCCATTGAGATGGTTAAGAGACCCATCTGTCACAAAAGCTATTGGCTTTCGTAGAATGAAGTTCATTTCAGAAGCCATACATGGTTTCCCATTTACGGTCGGTTTTGAAGTTCGATACTATAACAAAGAAAAACGTATGTATGAGAAATTTGAACAGGGAAAACTTTTACAAGTTAGTTTGCTTGTAAACTTAGAAACAACTCTTCAAGCTTTTCAAGAAAAAATAAACGATATCTATATCGAATATGCAAACCAGTATAACATTGACGAGGGAGAATACCATCTCGATATTATTTATGACAGGAAAAATGCAACTGTTAAAATCAATAGAATAGAAGACCTTGGAGAAAACGTTTATATTTCTACAAAATATAACAACTTGGCATGGTATAGATTTATGAGGATGTTAAATCAGCCTGCAGCATATCCAGTACACCCAGACTTTTATGAAGTCGAAAACCCTAATGGAACATATGAAAATGTTTTCGACCCAGCTGCTATTATTGTTCATGCTTCATTTTCTGGCGCCCAAAACTCTTTCTTATGCTTGGCAAATGACTTTTACGAAAAACCTACAAAGTTATACGAACCACCAAGTGGAAGTATTTCAGACTTTCAAGTATGGTTTACTACAGATGGAAGAAAAAGAATAATTCCATTATACCATGCGTTTTACTTAGAACTTAGTTTCATATACAACTACTATCGAACGGTAAAAATATAATTTTTTAATACGGTTGAGGTGTTGGATTTGGTTGCCAACTAGACTGTGGTGCAGGTTCAGGCTGTTGTATAACAGGAGCTTGTTCTTCTGGTTCAGGGTCTTTAGGTATAATACCAACAAACTGACCTACTCTTTTACCAATATTTTTGACTCCGTTCCAAATTCCTCTTCCGACAGATTTTATTCCATTCCATATACCTCTTCCAACATTTCGAAAGAAGTTTCCTATTCTTCCAAAGAAACCCATTTTACTATATGTAAAAATCTAATGTCCGCCTAGTCTCTTACGTTTCTTGTTGAGTTCCATAGCATTCTTTAACTGGAGCTCATACATTCTGTTTCTCCTCTGGTAGAAAACATATTCTGGGTCAACTCCTGTGTTCGCGTCATCTGCATAAAGTTGTTTATATCCCACTTCAGGGTTTGTATAAAACTCTTTCCATCTCATATTTGCATACCATGGTGGCAAACCTAACGCAGCGTCATTTGACATGGCAGTTTGCATTTGTACATCTGTTGGCACTTGACCATAGTTTGCCATTGCAGTTTGTATTCTAACTTCATTTGGAATATTCTCTGGGTTTGGTTGTCCAGGTTGCTGTGCATTCGCTAAGTTCTGTGCGTCCATTTAATATTAGATAAAAATATCTCTTACGAGTACATATACTGAACATTTGCAGGCATTGGTTCATCTTCATATTCTCTGTACTTTTCTGCCACGTCAAATAAATAAATGACACAATGGAAAAAACCTAAAACAAGTAGTCCTATTTCAAACCACATTTACTTACTAGTAAAATTTCTTTGTTATGACACTTTCTCCGGTTTATAGGACCTCTCTCATATTCTATCTTGTCATATCTAAACTCATAGTCATGTATGTCCTCTAACCATCTCATAACGGTTTCCAAACCACTTTTATCGGATGTAAAGTAAAAGCATGGATGGTTATGTATAACGTCTAAAGTTTCTAAAGAGTCTCTCAAAGTCCAGTCTACTTGGTATTGAAAATCCCATGTGTTATAGAACGGCGGGTCCACTATAAAGAAAACATTTTCCTTGTCTTTATATTTTTCATACAACTCTGTCCAATGACATCTCACAAACTCTATACCCTCAATATATTTTTCTATGTTCTCTTTGAAAACATTTGTATAGTTAAGATATAAAACGTTTGACATAAGTGTTTCAATGTCATGAACTCTTATAGCACCACTATATAATAGTCTAGCAGATATACTATCCCAGTCTATATATTCTGCTTTTTTCAAAACCTCTCTCACAATATTTTTGTTATCTAATGGTATACGTTCCATCTTACCTATAGGTATCTTTTCTTTTAACTCTTTCAATATATTGTTTGTGTCTGGTATATGTTTGAGACGGTCCATATAGTTGTCGAAGTCATTGCATATAATCTTTGAGTCTGGGAATATTGTATGGCACAAATGGGATATATAGAAACTTCCACCGAACAAATCTACAAATGTTAGACCATTCGGTAGTTTCTTAAGTTCTCTCAATATAATATCTTTACATTTACTCTTATTTCCAAAGAACGGTAACGGTGGTTTTGTAAAATTCATTTATATATAATAATAAAAATGTTTTTTCCTGAAAAGTGACAGAAAAGGCTTCTCAAAGTATACTTCCTTGGAACGCCTGTAACTTTTCCTGTAGCGACGATAGACCCTTACTTGTCCGGACAAAGTTATACTATTTTGAGTGCTCTACCAAAAATTTTTTATGGGCTAGAGGGCGCAACGCGCCTGGAGGCCCCACTCCTTTTTTTTTTTTTTAATTTCATCGTATTCATCATCTTTAATCCGTTCTTCATAATATTCAGGGAAAACATCGGGTTCTTTAGGTTTTTCTTCTTCAGATGTGGGATATAAGAAATTTATAACATCATCTTTATTCATTTTTCCATCATAATCTAAATCATTTAATAACTCGGCAAATTTTTGACAATTTCTTAAATAATATTTATCAACTTCATAACCCACCTCCTCTAATATATCCTTTATTTCCTCGTTTGTGAATCCTAATTTTTTAACGTTGTTAGTTTTGACGCTCATTTCATACAAAATAAAAAAATAAAATAATAAACATAACTAAGTTTTAATTTTTCGTAAGACATGAATTTTTAAAGTTTATTTTTTAAAAAATTTTATTTTTTATTTCATTATGTATGGGCTGAGTGTAAATGTCTTACAATTTTGAAAATTTTTTAAATCTTGATTTATTCAAAAATGTAAGAATAAAAACCGTAAGAATCATACATTTTTTACTTCATATGTTAAAAAAAATGATACAAAATCGCTCGATATTGTATGAATTCTTACGTTTACAAAAAAAGTCACAAAACCCATCCTATCCTACTACTATCCTTCGCTTTTAAGATCATTGAATTTGATTTTTATATAAAATAGTTATATATTAGAAAATAATATGAGTTTATGTGATATTATTTTTCAGAAGATTTCATTCTATATGCCTATGAAAAGTACTCTCAAAACTAACTTTTTCCTAAATATAATTAAATCTAGAATATTGTATTATGCTTAGTATTATTTCATTTTTCTCATTCAATTTAGAATTTACAAATGTCAAAAAATTGAGAGCTGTCACTTTTGATGAATTTCTGTTTATTACATATATCTCCAATGAAAAAATGGTGATAGCATAAAACAAGTCGATGACAAAAAGGGTAATTTCAAGCGAAAAAAAAATTCTTTTCAAACGAAATCATGGCTGAAGACTCATATTCAATTGATAAATTACTTTCTCTTTTCATTGAGAAGCCAGAGCCAACATGGATGTGTACAAGTAACTTAACTCTCAAAGAATTAAGATATCCATTTCAAGAATTCAAGTTTTCAAAACCGATATGCGCTGATAATCCTAGATCCAACCCTATAGAAAAAGACAAGAAGAATAAGCGCAAAATTAATCAAAAACAACCAGAAAAATCCGATACAATTCAAATTGGAGATCTCCAACTTTCAGCCAATAAAAATACCCACGAAATCAGTTTCAGTGATTTCACAAACTCATCAAAGAATGAGAATAACAAAAATAAAAAACTTGATTCAAATAATAAAAACAAAGAAACAAATAAAGATCCAAAAAGAAACACAAACAGTCCTCCAGCATTTAACCCTCAACCTAATACTACAAATTCTGCTGGAAATACTCGGAATTCAAATTCCCCACCAACATTTGATCCAAAACCAAAGAATACATTTAACCCAAGGCCAAAATCAAACGATATGATCGATACTCCTCCTGGATTTGGCTTTAATCCTAATTCTCCCCCTGGATTCGAAAAAATCCCAGATGCTCCACCCGGATTTGATAGAATCATTGATGCTCCACCAGGATTCGATAGAATCATTGATGCACCTCCAGGATTTGACAAAATCATTGATGCTCCCCCTGGATTTGATAAAGTTATTGATTCTCCACCAGGTTTCGAACCAGTTCTCAGTTCACCACCTGGATTTGAAAATACAAAATCGAATTCTTCTGGTTCTGAGCCAATTTTAAGCGATCCTCCTGGTTTTGGAAAAGTTATCGACGCTCCACCAGGATTTGAATCAGTTATAAACACACCAGCTTCTAAAGAAAGCAAACAATCAGAACCACCTGGTTTTAAACCAGTTGATTCAACAAAATCCAATAATTCAACTTCGAATACAAAAATCGAACAAAATAAAGACCAACAACCACAAAAACAACCAGAAAATAATACAGCACAGCCAACAAATACATACCAGCCTAATCAAGGCCGTCAGAAACGAACAGGAAGTCAAAATTCGAAATTTGCTGAATACAGACCAGGATCTCAGACAACAGAACAAACAAATAATAACAACAATAATTCTAAGTTCGCTGTCTGGACACCTGCAAAGCAAGAAACTACTCCTGCTCCAAAATCCGCTCCATTAAATCCGGAACCAAAGCTTACAGAGCCAGTTTTCACTCCGAAACCAGCTCCTAAACCACCACAGCCACAGCAATTCCAGCCAAATCCTCAACAAAACCAACAATCCCAAGAAATTCCACAAGTTCAACAATTCCAGCCAATGCCTTCATTCCAACCGCAGCCATTACAAATGCAAGAACAATATCAACAAACTCAGTTCCAACAACCTCTACAACCCCAAATTTACCAAAATCCCTACCAAAAACCGAAGATGCAGCCACAACAGCCAGTTCCATTATTTATGCCCAATCCGCATCTCCAATACGATCCAAATCCTCAAGAAATTGCAACTCCTCAGTTCAATTTCGATCAATCTCAGCAACCAATGCCAATTTTCAACTTTGCCCAGCCACCTTCAATGGCCGACCAGTTCTATATGCAGAATGCCTTCCTCCCATCCTATTTCCCGATGATGGGACGGGCTCCATATCCACAATTTACTCCACAGTTGCCGCAGTTCGCCCAAATGCCTTTCGGAATTCAGCGACCTCCATCGACCGATGATTTCTCTCAACAGAACCCTCGGGTTCCATTAATTCAGCAAAATCCGTACCAACCTCAACAGTTCCAGCCACAACCACAACCGCAGCCACAAATGACCAACACAAATTACGATGTTGTCGGTTTCGAATCGGTAATTCCTCAAAATACCAAAACCGAAATCCAAAAACCAGCTCCAAAGCCAGAAGAGAAGAAATCAGAACCATTATCATCTACTAAAACGAAATTGGCATTTATGCCCGATCCAAGTTCCAGTTCTGATTCAGATTCTGACGGAGATATTCTTATTGTCAACCAAGACAACGGATGGTCCAAGAAAGAGACGAAATTAACACCGAAACCCAACTTTGAGTCACTCCTCAACAACGAAGAGAAGAAATCCAAGCAAAGAGAACAATTTAAACCAGTTCAGAGAAAAAGTGAACCAGAAAACACTGAAAACGAGTCCAAACCATTCAGAAGGTCAGCACCATCGAGAAAAGTATCACACGCTCCAAAACCCCAAGCAATTGCCGTTGAACAAATCATGACTGACACAATTCATACAAACGATATCGTTCCAAAGCTGGAATTCATCAACGGAGACAAGGGAAATACATCAATACCTCAGCCAGCTGACGTAGCTTTCCCAAAGCCTCAAATTAGGCAAATGGGATTCCAAATGGCTCCAGATTCGTTTAATGGACCTCACGAACAAACAAATACAACAAGAAGACGTAACAGAAATAAAAAATAAATAAAGATTTTTTTTATATAATTATTTATTATTTCTAACTAGAACAAACTATTACTTTAATATAATACCAGTATCTTTGGCCTTTTCACTTTTCAACTTTCAACCGAATTCCATAGAACAATAAGATTTTCAATCGAAATTTAGTCAAAAGATTTCTTATTGTCTTAGTTCCAAAGACAAACTCTTTAGTGTAACACAAAGTATTCATTTAAAAACTTATCAAATGATCTGTTCTTTCAAACTTCAACAGCTCATATACATATACATTCGTAGTTGTATGATCTTCCACATATAATCGAAATTTTGGCTGTTACAGCTTGAATTTCATGCAATTGTGCTGTAATTAGATTAAGTCTCTGTATTAAACGGATTGACATAAACTCTCCTAGGTATTTAAAATCAGGTAGATCTGCCTTGTTGTGTTCAGTAATCTATTGATTCGAATCTATTATAAGATTCGTTTTCTGCTTATTACTGGTCACTTTTCTTTCATAAAATTGTTGTATGGAATTGAACTTGATGTAATCATAAGCATTCAGAGGACATCCTTAATCGAAAATTGGATAAAAGATTAGGAATATCATCATTCAACTATCATGACTCGATGTCCGATGGATTTCAATACAAAAAAATTGAAAATACATATTTGTAACGCGTTGCATACAAGCTCCATGATAGGACTATAATGCATTTAAAAATGATTTCTCTTCTTTTATTTATTTCAATAATATAAAAAAGATTTCTATATCGTTTTCTTAATTTTTTACAATCCTCCGAATCACAGCTTTTACTGAATATAAGTGAGCATAGTATAGGCTGAATAATAACAATTGTCGATTGATTTTATTCATATTAATATGATATTAGACAAATTTTATATGAATAGCAATTGAATTATTTCACATTACACTGTTGTAACGATTTATTAGGATTGTACACTTCTACCATCAAAAAATCATTTTAAAGATAATAATTTTGTGTATTGAGTGAACAAAACAATAATATTTGTGTGACTGATAGACCTTATAAACTAGATCTACTTCACTTTTTGCTTCTCTAAGTATTTTTTTTACGAGAATTACAATTAGAAAAATATGATTATTTTTCATGCCCATCCTAAAATGAAAATCATTTCACAGCGTCGATTTTGATATTAGATTTTTGTGAAGCAATTTTCGAACGTAATACCTCAATTGAACTTCATGTATAGTATTCATAATTATAATTCGAAAATATAGACAAAATTAGAAATAAAATTGAATATTCTCAAAATAGTAAAGAAAATTTGACTCTTAAACTTTTCAATAGATTGAGTATTTTACATAAAATAGCAATTTACAACTTTTGTTTATCTGAAAATTTGGCATGAATTTTTGCACATTTATTTTTCAATTACTTGTATTTTGAAATTAGCAGCTGTTGGTTTAGACTAGACCAAAGATATTACCATGTATATTACTATTAATTTCGCAGCTGCTAATTAATTTGTATGAAAAATCATCGTAAAGACGCACTTGGAGCAACATTTTATTGCTATATTTCCAAGTTAAAATTTCTGAGTTATTCAAAAATTGTTAGATAATAAAAACAAAAAATTGAATAATTCAATTATTCCTCATTCGAAAATTGGAGGGGAAAAATTATTCTTGATTTGTGCATCCTAAACGTAAGTGATCTTTTCGTCTATTATAAACGATTAATTGATGATTATTTCTTGGAATCTTAATAATGTCAATGAAAATTTCTGTTTTGGCATATTATTCTCATTTATATATGTTTTTACAGCCAGCCAAATATAAATTTGTTTCCAATCTTTTAATTAACACTCTAGGAAAGTAGTTTTCTCCCTTCTTACAAAATTATTCAAATTGAATTGATTATGGCGTCATTTGAAAACCAACTATTAATAGTGCTATACATGACTTTAATTTTTGGAAAGAAATTAAACAACGAATATATTGTCACTTTTTATTCCTTTAATATTTTTTAATTCAATTCCAAAATTCAATGAGAGGCCGCCGCACTTCCAAAATTACTGGAGGAAATTCGCGCCTTCCAGATGATGATTATAAACCAAGTGAAACTAGATGCATACAAGACGCATCTTTCTTAGAAGTTGTACATCCGATTGAAGCAACTGGCAAAATCAACAATAAAGAGTTAACACCAATACAGAAAGCAATTACATTCTGCATAATGGAACATGGAGGTTCGGCCTCAGAACAAGAAATTTTAGATTTTGTTACAAAAAAGTGGAAATTGATAAATGAGAAGTCAATTCGTCAATTTCAAGTTAAACCATGCATGAGACTAATCAGACTTAATTTGTCAATAAAGAAGAATAATCAACAATTGTTTCTTCCAGATCCGGACAAAGCAGGTAACATGATTCTTGGTCAGTATGATCCAAATGCATCAAAACATAATGACCAAACACCAGAAAGTACAGATACCATTATAAATGAATCTTCCTCAGAAGAATTGAATCAATACGCAATTGAAACAGACTTCATCGAAGAGTTAATGAATTATTTAAATCGAAGCAAGTATCCTGTGAAGTTCACTGACATTGTTAGTTTCGCAAAATTATCGAATTTTAAAATAAATTTGTTTGCGAGATTAGAATTTAATCGGCAAATTAGAGCCATTCTAGTATCATTAAAGGTACAAGGTCATTTATTTTATAACCCCTTCGATGACTCTTGGTGCGTCAATCCAATCCTCTGTCAGAAGTGAAATATCATTTTTTATATTTTATTATTTATTTTGTATGTTAATATTATATAAAGCATTTTCAATATGATTATAAATTTGTGAACATCGAACAAATTTTTATTCACAAAAATTGTGTTCTCTTAACTTTTGAGAGATCATTATGAAAAGCAAATTTTTGTATAGTATCTCAAATTATATTTGCTTGCTGTAACGATATTATTAAATGTTATATGTTATAAAATCTTTTTATTCTCTCATGAGATCAATTATAATTCGTATCATGTAAATATCAGCTAGAAAAATTGAATCGGCATTGTGATATAAAGGGTACACAAAATATAATACAATAATTTCAATTCCTAGAAAAGATTATATCAATTTTCGTAAAAAAAATGTTGATTTATCAAAATTAAGTAATGAAGTAGATACAATTACATAATACTGATGATTTTTTATATTACCAGAAATAAGACTTTCATGATTTTTTTTTATTAAAATATCAATTTTGTAAGCGCCTAGAAAAGGATATTAAATCGGTAAATGCATAAAATCATATGTACGTATTTCATTTTCGGTAATTTTGCTTTTTAAAATCAAAATGAAATTTTGCTAAACGAAGTTTAAAAGAAATCTTTACTTATGCCAACTTTTAAGCATGATAGGGCTTCTACGAGCTTCCTTAATTGTCAGCAATAAAAAAAGTCATTTCTTTAGTCCCTTTCTTCATTCAAAAATAAATTTCTGAAATAGAATATTGAAAGGAATTATGATTAACGAATAATTCCAATCAACAATTGTTTTTAAAAGATAATTATCATGCTAATTAAATACAAAAAATCGTTTCAAACAATTTATTGTTTTTTTTTCTCACAATTGAAATTTTGTTAAAATTATATCTGATTCATACAAAAATCCCAAAGCATATTAATGCTACAAGCTTATTTTCAAATTTTGTGATATTTTATTTTATTTTTTTTTTTTAATTTAATATTTTCTTTTCATTTAAAATATTTAAAAATCATTGAACTTCATAACTACTTCTAAGTTTATACTAATTAATGATTAATTAAAATAAAAATCAGATTTGAACTAAATTAATAAGCGGTGGAAATTAAATTGTTGAAACCGATATAAAGATGAAATACAATGATAATTCGAGCAATTTTAGCCATAAATATAATATTTGAAATTAAATTCAACAATAATTCAACACCTTAAAGTAGAACCGGAACTACTGATATTTTGAAAATCATAATTGTCTCTTTTAAAGTTTCATTGCATTGAAAATTTTGGTTATTATCTAAATTTGTTTGTAAGTTTTGCTGCTACTAGTGTATGCAATTATTATAACTCGGGCTATTTTCTCGATGATAACACAGTATCCATTTTTGCATTTGGAGCAGATAATTCAGAAAATATTTTAATAATTTGAATATTTCTTTCAAAAATCGATCCATACAATAATTCAACTTCATAAAAATCATAAAACTAATGTTTTACTAAATTACATAGTAGGTCGATTTAGCTGCATTTCTGACGTTTTTTTGTAAAATATAATTCAATACGTTTGAAAAGTCTTCAACGTAAAATCGATCGATTTCGATTTATTATTCCCTTCTACATACTGAATCATTTTTCACATATATTTTCTATCTGCATTTCAATTCAATTTTATTCCTAATAAAAATATATTACTAACCTTTCTTGATAAAAGCATAATTATAACCAAAATGTCACCTTTGAGAATTGAATTGAATAAATATATTTTACAGATTTTTTAGGTTCGAATTATTAAAAAATCAAACACTGACCTAATGGTTAATTATAGAATATTCATTTTATTACTTTTTACACCAATAATTTCTCGATTCACCTTCATATATGAACTGTATTATACTCCTATCTACACTCTAGCTTTCATATTAATTAATACCAAAATATTTCATTAAACTATACCTTTTTGAAATACCGATAATACAAAATTGGACTCATATCAATTTTTAAAAGGTTCAATCGATCAGATACATATATGCATAAACCTTCATCATATCTTAAGTTTCAAGCATTCAAATTTAATAATATTCAATATAATTCCTTTTGATTAGGAAGCAAGTTTTTGTTTTCGATTCACGCAATATGCATCCGGTGTTCGAAGTTTGCTCAAATTCCACATAACCTTAGCATTATTTCAAATGAAACAAATTGTAAAGAAATGATATGAAATTAGCTCACATTTTTCAAAATTAATTGGTCCTATCAACCCCTTGGGTTTTATCACAAAGAGTTCGTCTCAAAAAGATGGAAAATAAATTGTAATTACTCGTTAGTTTCGTACATTTTCCATAATTTTTGAATACAAATCGTACATTGCGGATCGTAATCATATAAAGCAAAATTGATGAATTTTAATAAAATATCGCTTTATTCGTATAATAAACAAGAGAACATTCAAAGTCTTTGAACATTTGTAACAAAATTCAAAAACTACGATTCTTCTTTCGAAGTCCGCTTATCAATAATGTTCCAATTGCAACAACACCTACAATAATTGATACATAATTCATTGGACCTTTGAATTCTTCATCAGAAGGACCTAAGAGGGACAAGGCCGAAACTCTGTTTTCCATTTTACTAACGTTCCATGCAGCAAACTCGGGATTAAAGAAATCACTGAAGTTCGAAGGGGTTCCTAAGGGCTTCAAGTTCGAAGAATAAATGAACAGTGAACTCAAGAGAAAGAGCATTCCTTTGATAAGAAATATAAAAATGAAATAAAAGTGACAATAAATTTCGAATGAAAAATAGCATATTTTTACCCACAACTATCTAAATATCAAACATTAATAAAAAGCTTACTATCGTTTTTGACAAATCATGTGTCATAAAACCGCTATCGGAAGTTTGGTAATTTTGTTGTAAACAACAGTTAGATCATTATTTCAACAATGAAAATTCTTTGACATAAAATTTTTGAGATGAAAAGTGATTTCAACGCAAATATTTTCAAAAGATAAAATATAATTGTGATTCGTAAATTGATATAATATCCAACTCACCATGACTCAACTAAATGTATTCTTTACAAATTTCATTTTATCGCTTTGCTTTATTCAACAATCAAACAACAAAACAAAAAATATACTATCCTAAGAATGTTTTAATTATGTCTTTGAAATTTTTCAGATTTCATATTTCAGAAACGATGTAGGCAAACCCAAATTTTAGCTAAAAGTGACAGGGAAAAAAAACGTTTAGTATTAAAAAAAAGACCAATGAGAGCTTCGTTCGAAATATAGAGGGAACTGAGAATGCGCAACCATTCTCAGGGAATATTGGATGCTATTCCCGTTCCCTCTGTATGGAAAATTGAGGTTTTCAAGGGGAGTTAAAATAATATCAAATTTATACTAATTTACTTCAAAATACAAAAGTATTTGACAGCTAAAATTAGTTACTTTAGCAAGCCTATCAATACCCTTTTACGATTATTGCTACTTTTTCGAAATAAAAGTAAAAACAAATTTATACTAATTTACTTCAAAATACAAAAGTATTTGACAGCTAAAATTAGTTACTTTAGCAAGCCTATCAATACCCTTTTACGATTATTGCTACTTTTTCGAAATAAAAGTAAAAACAAATTTATACTAATTTACTTCAAAATACAAAAGTATTTGACAGCTAAAATTAGTTACTTTAGCAAGCCTATCAATACCCTTTTACGATTATTGCTACTTTTTCGAAATAAAAGTAAAAACAAATTTATACTAATTTACTTCAAAATACAAAAGTATTTGACAGCTAAAATTAGTTACTTTAGCAAGCCTATCAATACCCTTTTACGATTATTGCTACTTTTTCGAAATAAAAGTAAAAACAAATTTATACTAATTTACTTCAAAATACAAAAGTATTTGACAGCTAAAATTAGTTACTTTAGCAAGCCTATCAATACCCTTTTACGATTATTGCTACTTTTTCGAAATAAAAGTAAAAACAAATTTATACTAATTTACTTCAAAATACAAAAGTATTTGACAGCTAAAATTAGTTACTTTAGCAAGCCTATCAATACCCTTTTACGATTATTGCTACTTTTTCGAAATAAAAGTAAAAACAAATTTATACTAATTTACTTCAAAATACAAAAGTATTTGACAGCTAAAATTAGTTACTTTTAGCAAGCCTATCAATACCCTTTTACGATTATTGCTACTTTTTCGAAATAAAAGTAAAAACAAATTTATACTAATTTACTTCAAAATACAAAAGTATTTGACAGCTAAAATTAGTTACTTTAGCAAGCCTATCAATACCCTTTTACGATTATTGCTACTTTTTCGAAATAAAAGTAAAAACAAATTTATACTAATTTACTTCAAAATACAAAAGTATTTGACAGCTAAAATTAGTTACTTTAGCAAGCCTATCAATACCCTTTTACGATTATTGCTACTTTTTCGAAATAAAAGTAAAAACAAATTTATATACTAATTTACTTCAAAATACAAAAGTATTTGACAGCTAAAATTAGTTACTTTAGCAAGCCTATCAATACCCTTTTACGATTATTGCTACTTTTTCGAAATAAAAGTAAAAACAAATTTATACTAATTTACTTCAAAATACAAAAGTATTTGACAGCTAAAATTAGTTACTTTAGCAAGCCTATCAATACCCTTTTACGATTATTGCTACTTTTTCGAAATAAAAGTAAAAACAAATTTATACTAATTTACTTCAAAATACAAAAGTATTTGACAGCTAAAATTAGTTACTTTAGCAAGCCTATCAATACCCTTTTACGATTATTGCTACTTTTTCGAAATAAAAGTAAAAACAAATTTATACTAATTTACTTCAAAATACAAAAGTATTTGACAGCTAAAATTAGTTACTTTAGCAAGCCTATCAATACCCTTTTACGATTATTGCTACTTTTTCGAAATAAAAGTAAAAACAAATTTATACTAATTTACTTCAAAATACAAAAGTATTTGACAGCTAAAATTAGTTACTTT